TTTATTTTTATTTTATTTTTATTTTATTTTTATTTTATTTTTATTTTATATTTATTTTATTTTTATTTTATTTTATTTTATTTTATTTTATTTTATTTTATTTTTATTTTATTTTTATGTTATTTTGAATTCATATTTATTTTGGTTTTATTTTATTTTATATTATTTTATTTTATTTTTATTTTGTAAAATCTAATTATATATTAAATAGGTAATTATCTATTTATTTAATTTTTTTTATTAATTTATTTTATTTTTTATTTTAATTTGTTTTATTTTATTTTTATGTTAATTTATTTTATTTTTATATTAATTTATTTTATTTTTTATATTAATTTATTTTATTTTTTATATTAATTTATTTTATTTTTTATATTAGTTTATAAAATCATGTCTTGTTGTAATATGTAATATTTTTATGAGCCCCATATTATGTAATTTCGTTTAATGTTTAATGTCATTGGATTTACCATATCATAAATGAGTATCTTTGAGTATTCAATTATTTACGTTATTGATTAATGAGTTCGGAAACCGAGTGACATAGTAACTACAAAACACAGTTTGGCCATATAGTGTTCCATATTACTCAGTTACCAAAATTGTTAATGCCTTTGGTAAACCTTTTTACATTCAAATTTATAGTTTAGTGACTTATGGAGAATTAAGTCAGTTGAAAAAATTATTTAATCAATACATGCACCAATTTTTTTTTTCAACCATTTATGGTTTATAGTTTTATATACATGCAGTCAGAGACACTTGATTTTCATCTACCAAAATTTATTTAGTGTGGCCTCAAATAAGGTTTTCTTGATTGAACCTTCAAAAATCAATTCGATGTGTCTAGGACTATTTATCGAATCAGGAACTAGCTTTTTAAAGTAATTTTTAATAAACAGATAACTGAACTGTAGCGTAAGGGTTGAGATTATTGACTAACTGAATCGAACTACTTCCAAAATTTATGTGTGTGGTTCACGGCTCCGTTGAATAGCTACTAAAAATAGTATTTTGTTGTTTATTTGGAATTCGCGAGTTTTTTTTTTTTTGTATGAAAATATTAATTATAAATTTTTTTATTTATGGAAATTTGATCTTATGCAAAGTTGACTTCCTTATTATATATATATATATATTTTTTTTTTTTGCGATAATTGAAATATTTAAAAATTACTCGTTTGTATGTATAATTATCGTTTTATTCCGTTTTGCATTAAACTTGAAATAATTTTCTAATATTTGAGCTTATTTAGTGTTAATAATTTTAACCTTTTCTTTTTTTTGTTTTTTTTTTTTTTCTTATTTATACTAATTTTGTAATAACATTTCCAACTTGTAAAAAGTATTAAAATAACGCAAACATTTGTGAAGTACGCTAGCATCAAGACTGACTGTTAAAGTCTAAGGCTCCAAGTAAACAAAAAATAAAATAAAGTATAAATAGCAACAGAGTGAGTGTACCGCCCGCATATCTCCAAAAAGAGGGGCGCAAAAATATTGGGCAAATAGGAATTTTCACTTAAAAAACACGTACAAGAAATAAAAATCATTTGGGAGTAGCTATTTAGGATGCTTTTAAAGCTAATGTAACTGCGTTTGCATATATATCCTTTGCAATTATTGACGTAAGCATTTGAGCAAATAGGTTGATTATAGCGCTACCATACCCATTTAGAATAACGAGTATATCTTACTTTCGCTCCAACTTTCACTGCTTTCGCAGTTATGGTACAATTTCTTTTTAGTGTTTTTGTTGAGAGTTTTGTTGATTTTCGTACATGGCATCGCAAAAAATTTGGTGTTGATATTATATTTGGTTTTCTTTTCTTATTTCCATTTGCGTTAGCTCATTAAAGGAAGTCAGAAATACTGCCAAACAGAAGAACAGATACGAAAAATATTCATCCGAATATTTGCCTTTATATTTAAAGCCAAAATTAAATTGGTGTGTCTTACTGTATATTTCCCTTGACACATATCTTTAAGGAGATGAGATTTAATGGTTAACACTTATTCACACTTCATACCTAAACATACTGACGTATACGTATTCATGAATGTAAGTAAAATATTTTGTAATGATTTTATGTATATCCGTATATCCGTATTTGTTATAGAATATTGCAAGTATACATAGAACAGGGTAAACCAAATATATATGTATATATCATAATTCTGCACACTAGGAGCTAGCTATAATCTGAAATTTACTTTTCATTGATCTCGAATCAATCGACGGAATAAATAATAATTTCATACAAATTTAATTTTCGAATAAGAAGCCCTTACTCCCTTCTGAACATGCAGGCAACTATGATCGTGATATATTCGATCCTAGGGGGGTGGGGTGTATGACGACGACAACTTTAAAGGCAACATTATTAATTCCCGATACTTTTTTTTTGTATTTTTTTTTTTTTTTTACATAGAATATATATTGACGACACTTTTTCAAGACTTCTCTTTATGAAATACATTAAATTCTTATATTGTATTCTCCTCACCCTGTTTTTTGAATAACTATTACCCTGTATTGCGACGGCATGGTTACGTATATGTCCTTTGCAATTGCACGGTGAACGCGTATTTATTTTTAGGTGTGTGTGCATATGTTGCTGAGTGAATTAGTATATGTTGTCTGTGCGTATGTTGTCAACAATAACTGTCATATTCACACACTCTCCCTCTATCCTTCACTCATTTATTTAGTTAGTGTGCGTATGCGTGCCTTTGTTTGTTGATGCCGATGTTGGTTTTAACTGCTATTGTATTTATTGTTGTTATGGCAGTCATTATTATTGTTGCTGTTCTTCTTTGTGTTATTATTATTGTTGTAGTTGTTGTTGTTGCTGCTTTCCACTTATGTATCTGTGTCTATTGTATTTATTTCGCTTTTTTATAGAATGTGTATATGACTGAGATGAGCTGCAGATATTTTTTTTTTTTTTTTCTTACCCCCCACCTCTTTTCCACTGTACTTTTCCGACTTTGGTAGATGTAAATTACATTGGGTTTTTCTTGCACGCATTCACCATCAACGCATCTCCACTTTATGACAATAGCCATCAACAATAACAACAACAACAAGCCAAAGACGGCAACATTTACAATTCGCTCCAACAACTCAGACGCTTTTCACTTGAAGATTACAATTGTTGCTATTAGCCGTTTCCGTTTTATTGTTCCCAAAAATTAAAGGAAACTCGAATGAAATAGGGTATAAAAAAATAAACAAAAAAAAAAAAAAAATAAGCAAATACAGCAACAATACAAGTAAAAGCTCGCTTTAAAAATTTTAAGGCAAAAACTTAATTCACACGGCTACGTACAACGTCTTTTGTTGTTGGTAGGGAATTGTCGTCAGTGTGTGTGTGTGTCTTGCGTGCGTTCGTTTGTGTATAGCTTAGTATATAGCCGAAATGTGGATACATTGCGATTATATGCATATGTATGTGTATATGCGTGCATGCGTACGTTATGATGTTAATTTGTTCATTTTTATTTGTCATTTCATTAAAAGACCATAAAAGTAACGCCATTTCCAAATTAAACAAATAAACAAAACGCAAAAAAAAAGCTATGCTTTGAAAGAGGTTTGAACACTGAACACACCTTACATCTTAGAGTGGTGTTTTTTTTTTTTTTCCTTAGGTCATAAGTCTGGTTCATGAGGATATGTATTTTGTACAGTTCAGTAAAGATATTATTCGTGTACATCACACAACAAATTTAAATTAAATGGTTCATAAAGTATAAATATAATTAATTTTAAATTATTTCGTCTATACCATATAAATGATTATTATAAAAAGCCGAATTATTTAGATTATTTCGATATACGTTACGGCCGTGTTATAATATTTATTGTTATATTTAAATATGTATTATTGTATTTAAATATAATATGTATTATTATATTTATATATGTATTATTGTATTTAAATATAATATGTATTATTATAATATTTAATTGTTGTGTATTTAATAAATATTTATTATTATATATAAAAATTATTATATTCAGACTGATTTAAATATTAATTTATTAATGCAATTATATTAAGTTTATTTACTTAATAGTTTTATTTAAATAATATTTATTTCAGTTTAATTGAACAAAAAAACATCGATGTAAAATTTGTTATTAATTAAAATTGTATATTTTTGTCAACTATATGTATATATATATATATAGAATTCTATATCATTTAAGCAGAGCTTAATCCTTTCAGAACATTTCTACTACCAAATTGAGATACCAATCATATTGAAATAAAGATTTCAAGCAGGATGGATTATTCGAAGTTTGAGAAACTAACGGTAAGTAAACAATTAGTTTAGCCACATTCATTGCAATGCATACACGTATACATACATTTAAAACGTGCTAAAATATTTTAATATAGATTTCTGACGACGAGGATGAAACAAATATTTTTGTGGATCTCATTAAAAAAGAAAAGGCTAAAGTGCTGGACTTATATGACAAATCAGTTGATATTTATGAGCGTTTGGTTATAATAAAACTTGAAGTTGCAAAGTTTGAAACGATTCTATGTGAACTATATAAACGCCCGTATATCGATGGTAATGCCCAATTGGTGAGCACTAAATTAAAATTTGCATAAAATAATATAAAAATTTGATATTTTTTTTTGTTTTTTTGGTTATAGAAAATTGAGAAACATTGCAGTAAAATTGAAAAGCTCGAAAAAGAAATAAAAGCTAAAGTTTCAGCATTGTCCTTTGAATTGGTAGTGACAAGCGGTGTTATATTATATGACATGCCACTGAAAAGTGCATCTCATTATGAAGTGTTTGCGATGCTCAGTGATGAGTACAATCAAAAAGTACAATATTTCGCTAAAAATAATGCAAAGTTGTGCCAGGAATATAGTTCCTTGTCCTCTTTAACTGAAACTGGACGATTTTTTCATGCTCATCCACAGATTGTATGTAGTGAGGCAACAAGTTATATGTTGACTTGGATTTTCAAAGTTCGCGCAACTAAAGACGTTGCCAAAACACGCAGAGCAATTTTTCAGTTCTTAGTTTTGGAATACTTACTGACTATGAGTGAGGAAACTCCAGTTGTAAACCCAAAACGATTGGTAGATCAATGCTTAAGCGACATATATAATGCAATCAAATTCCTTCAAAAGGTTGAAGAATTTAATAAGACATTGACTTTCTTTGAGGGTTTTATGATTTCTGATCATGATTATTTCTATATAGAAGTTGCATGTCATAGTAGTTTAATTACTCAGTTTTTAAAAGTAAGTTGTATTTTCTGATTAATCACAAAATGATTTAAAGTTAATTTTCATTACAAATTATAGGTGCCGCCAACAGAGGCTTCCAAAACTCATTTCTTAAATGACATGAAGTTACGCCGTTTTTTTTCCGACAAACCTCTGTTTTCACATGTAGGAATGAAATCGAATTCAACTGATAATGGAAGCTGGAAGAATGCAGATGAGAACGAAGAAAATGTTGTGGAAGAAGAAACTATTGTGAATGACGCAAATGTTGTTAAAGAAGAAAATGTTACGAAAAAGAAAATTATTGAGAAAGAGGAAAAAATTCAGAAAGAAGAGATAAAACAAAAAAAGGGAAAGTCGCCGAAAAAAAAAACATACAAAAGATTTATAAATAAAAAAAAGTATTAAATTTATAAATAAAAAAAGTACAAACTTTATACAAAAAAAAAAAAAAATATTAAATAAAAAAAGTAAAAAGTTTATAAACCAAAAAAAAAATTTGAAAACAATATCATACTTTTAGCTTTTTTTTATTGTGCTAAAAAAAAAAATTCCATTCTAAATGGAAAACTTAGAAACTTTTAATATTTGAAAACTTTTAATATATAGTAAATAAATTTTTAAAAGTTTTGTATATCCATAAAACATTAGGTAAACATATATTTATAAATACTTACAACACTATTATAATATCATTTTACGATTTCTGATGAACGCAAAAATATATTTTAAACATTATATTTGTATTATACTACAACATAGTTCTGAAATATATGTTTATACTATACTATACTAAAAATACTATACTATATTAAAAATACTATACTATATTAAAAATACTATACTATTTTCAATATAGTATTTTCAATATACTATATTGAAAATACTATACTATGCTAAAAATATTATACCATACTTAAAATATTATACTATACTATACTAATACATTGTATTACTTATGCATAATTTCATTTATATACAATTAATTTTTTTTTGCGAGTAATATATCACATTACATAAAACTAATTTTAAATTCTATACGCAGTTTTTACGATGCGGGATTAATTTAAAAATGTATGTAAAAAATGTATTATATTAATAAATATTATTCAAAAATATAGTTTTTGTCCAATTTGTTTTTGAAAAACTGATCAACCCGTGTGGATAAAATAAAAAACTAAAAATTTAAAAATATTACATTTATTATAATAATAATTTTATTATAATAATAATTTTATTATAATAAT